GACTAAAATTATCATTGGGCATTCATGGAGTAATAGTGTTATATTATTATCAACACATTATTGCCCAATGATAATTTTAGGAGTCATCATATTTACATTACTTTTTAGAGTACAACTTTAGCAATTGTTTGAAATGTATAATATTTATGTTTATTAGGTAATACTCTATCGTACAGTATTTTTTTTAAATTCAAAAACGTAAGTCAACTTACCAAAAGTCGTGTTCAAAGATGTATATATTTTGTGAGTGTTAGTAATCTCAAACAACTGTTAGAAAATGTATAATATCATTATGATAACAATCACCATGACAATAAACAGTACTACCACTAGAAAGAACATATAATTCCCATAATTTTAATTATAAACATATAAGCCTTGATAACGTTGAAAAAATAATAAAAATACATATATTACATGATTCTTAAAGTAATCATTGGGCCTCAAAGGGTTAACGCCAATCGGCTTTTATAGACATACAAAATAATAACAAATTTAAGTAACAATATTAAAATAGTAAGACATAATAACAGTATTAAAAATAGTAAGACAGCAAAAACCAATAATATGGTGWAACAAAAATAAAGGGCCCAGGCACGAAATTGTCACAAATTATATAAATTGTATACACGCATCAGTCTAGGGAGGGGTGCATTGGCATCATAGTTGGACTGATCTGTTTGTAGGTAGAACGTGCCCTGGTATCTAGTGTTGCTAGGAACATGGATATTAAGTTTCTCTAATAATCGAGGTGCATAAATTTTCCCATTTAATAGCCCAGAAATAAATCGGTAACTATGTGTCTGACGTCTAACTGATAGTGACTCGAGACATAAAATATCATTTATTGGTTGATAGTCATGGGGTGGATGAGAAATRTTTAGGCAGTACCCAGCATTATTCAAAAACCTGTTCTGCACTTTATCAAGTCTAAGTATATCACCAACGGTATACGGATACCAGACAATAGAACCATACTCTAGTACCGAGCGTACTAGCGCACAATAGAGCACTGAGAGACATTTTGGAGAATTGAAACTCGCAGAATGTCGTCTAATAAAACCAAGTATGCGCACAGCTTTGCCTACTATGTGATCAATGTGAGGACGAAAATCTAAAGATGGGACAAAAAAGAAACCTAAGTCAATAATTTTGTCAACACAAA